GGACAATTGAGTCAAGAGGTGAATCGTTCCTTGTGAATTATAGCGTTTGTTCAAGTTATAGCGTGACTGTGGAAATTAAGTGAATTTCAAAGTTGTATTGAGAAAGAATAAACTAGTTTTATTTAAGAAGGGACTTGTATCGCTAAAGTTTCTTCGGAAAGAATTTTTACGGGAAATTAACAAACGAACAGAGACGTAACAATATCCTTAAATGTAATTTGTTCTGAGGTATCTTTACAAAAATCTTCATAATAATATCGAAAACAATGCGGTATTTATCATAAAGGTGATATATATTAGGTTAAATAAACAATATATTTCATTCTAGAAAGGATTTTACTAAAAGTTCAAGTAGAAATATTTTCGATGTTTTGTTTCTTACAGTCTTCAATATATTAAAAGTTTTTGTTAAAACAATAAAAAGTATTAGAAATGAGGTCTAAAGGTTTCAGTTCCTACATTTGAAAGTTTAAAAAAGAAGTAATATATAAACTGATCCCTAATGTTCAATTTAAATCTGAAAGTTTCGTGTTGATAAGATGTTATTGTTTGATTTTCAGTAACAAATAACGGTGTTGACAAACTTACATCAGTAATTAAACATAAAATGAGTACAATAATTTTGGTAACCTTTTAAACTGTTCGAGATAAATATTCTGTCAAATTATTCATTGTTTCCCAAAGTTTTATATTCCATTTTGGAATTTGGTTATCTTGTTAACTTCCATCCACGTGTCTGTACTGATAACAATATTAATAAAACGATTTGTTTTCAAGAAGTGGCTAACTTTCCAACAAATTATACACATTTTAAATGTTCATGATTTATTTCAATAATTCAATACAAGTTTGTTTTAAGTTACAAGTTTCCATGTCAACATATTCCACTTCATCAAGAGATGTTACTTCCCAAACAGTTCACCCGCCATGTTGTTTAAGTGTTGTTCTTCGGACTCCAGAAGTAGAACCTTGATACAGTCGGTGAACATGTCGTTCTTGAAGCAGTTCGATCTAAACACGAAAATATTTAATAATTATACCCTAGTTCTTGTTCTATCAGAGCTAAATGACAATAGATAACAGTTACTATTTTTGGTGAAAGTATAAGATTTATAATAATGTGTTAAACCATTCCTCTTGATGTATTAACACATAAAAACAACCCACGATTCCCACGTTGTTAATTTTATGAATTAACTGTAAAACCATCACAAAATAAAAGAAACGTATCATTAAGAACGTTAGTAATAACCAGTTCACCTGCAGGTTTTATGAATGAGTGGATCCCGGTAAATATTATAACATTCTTCACAGATTCGATTTAGCCGAGCGAGTTTGGTAGTGTCGTAAGTTCCCATACATCCTTGGTTAGTAAAATCACGTTTTTCACTTAACTGGGAAGATGATGACGTAGTCAGAAGTAGTGTTACTAATACGATGGAAGGAAGTGATAAACACATGTTTATTGTTGTCTGTAAACAAACAAAATAAGGGAGAACCGGCTTCAGGTTTCATTGTTTTATTTCATGTGAAATATATTATATTAATATATAATTTAATTTAATTTAAAATTAAAACATAACATAAGTTTTTAGACTTTAAAACCCTACTATAACATTTTTATTTTAAATTAAATTATATATTAATATAATATATTTCACATGAAATAAAACAATGAAACCTGAAGCCGGGTCTTCCGGCTAACAAGTCAAGACACTCTGATATCCCGGAGAAAAAACTGTCTTCAACAATTTTCACTCATAATAGGAGGAGTCCCAAGTTGAAGTCCCGGAGTTACTTTCCCTTATTGATTTTTCACTTGAAATTAAGAAAACATTTCTTCAAAATATTAAATATTCTCCTTATAATATAGAAATTATCGAACATCAGTACCTTGTCACTATAAAAATAAAATCTAAATAACTTAGAATGAATTCTCAATAGTTATAATATTTCTTTATAAAGGACGTTTACTAAAACAGTCCTGACAGATAAAAATTTAGAAACAAACCTTACCGTACAGATGTCTACTTGTAGAACACTGTAACCTTGGTGACTGGTAGATACAGAATGAGTTAGACATCCTCAGGTTTTATACTTATCTGTCATCAACTTAACTCTCTATTACTATGATTATACTACCTTGGAGAAAACCACCTGTGGAACATATTTGGTTTGTCTCCAGACTGTCAATGTTGTGATTGTTAATAAACTCACGTCCTAAATCAGTATCGTAATTCACATGAATTCCCAGTTGTTGTTGTTTTTTGACATCATAATTACATATCTCGTATCGTTATCTGAAGACTAAAAATGTGTTTTCTTCACAATCTATTTTGAGAGTAGTTTAGTACAATAATTAAGATAACAGCGCCATCTGTTGAACTCTTATTACGTGACAATTTTTATTGCTGACAATTTCCTGTACTTGGTATTCATGATCACAGTATAAATCTCTGTTTCTTTTATAGGTTTTTGTTAGAAACGAATAGAAGCCAACATCAAATACCTCCGGGTGTTTTCTTCGTCTGGTAGGATAAAAATAAACTTGTAATTATTGATGGTTTGATATTACGTAACCACTGACGTTGTACCAAGAACCACAAATAGTAACACGTGTATTTCTTTTGTCTTTACTGTTGATTAAAAGTACATTACAATTACATGAAGCTCTAGACTAGTTTTTAAACTTATATAATACTAAACTGATTGACTTATTGGTTAAACGTAGTTGACAAACTTCTTTAGAGAGCAATAATTTATTATTTCATTAACTTGAATTATGTAAAATATTTTACGAAGGTTTTCTTCCATGTCTCACATTATATCATAATACAGTTAGTTGGTAAACATGGTTTTAAAAAGTTTATATTTAAATAAGTGGATGTTGAATAACATTTAAATGTTTTATAGAGACTTACGTGAATGTTTCCCGTTAAATGTAAAAGTTAAAAACTGGTTCTAATTTTATATTCTATAGCACGTGTTGTGTACTTTAAACTTTCATCAGTGAAGTGAATATAAGTAGTCACACAACACTCGTTGATATAGTCTTGATATATCAGTGGTTGTTTGGTTGATATAACTGTAGACGTTTCTTGAGGAAGGTAGTGACTACAGCCAAGCTAGAAGGACTGAATAACACTGCCGTTATTATATATATAATGAATCAAATTTTGATCTGTTCCAAATGCTGAAATGCCACTATTATTAATTTCTCTAAACACACTTAAACATTCTTAGAACACATTTATCACGCCAGCGTCATAAATAAGCACTCAAAAATCGTTCTTCTTCATCTCCTTGTTGTGGAAGTTAAATTATTTATATTATAATCACAAGAGGGCAGTCTCGAAAGTAATAATTACACCGGTAGAAATTAATCTGATAAATTTAATGGTAAATTGCTCTCCACAGACACTAGGATGAAACTTGGGGCAGGTGGAAGAAAGGCTGAAATTAGGGACTGGCGTGGTGTTATAAGACGTTACCCCTGTATTGATAGCTTCCCCTGACAAGTGGGGTTTGAATCTCTGTTTGGGAGGAATCTTATGTTTAACAACATTTGATATAATAACAGAAACAAAATATTAAAAACGAGCCAAGACAAAAGAGTCGTCCATATAAAGGTACAAAATGAATAACAAAATTGGGAATTTAAAAACCTGCAAATAGGGATCGTAAAAAATGTAAGAAAACAAAGCTGGAGATACTGTAGACATTATTTGCTCGAACTAGAACCCTTATTTTGACTCCACTAAATGGAGCATGGAGTTTCTAGTTTAAGTAAATAATGTCTACAGTATCTCCAGCCTTGTTTACTTTATTTTTTTAACGATCTCCAATGTAATAGCCGCCAAGATTACTGGGATGTCTTACTCCCTCCACTCTTGATGGCCTATAGAACAGCAGAGCATGAAGCCACTGGATACGCTCCAGCAAAGCAATTCAGGTGTCCACAGAAATTTCACCGGGGGGGGGGGAGTCTAAATCAACATAATATATATATGAATTAAGACAGAAATATCTTTCTCATTTTTTGGGGAGCAAGTGCCCCTTTGTCCCTCCCATGGACGCCCATGGTTATGTTAATGGTCCTTATGTTTAAGAATATATATATTTTAAAACACTAACACTTAACCCTACCACATGTATTATGATGTGAAGAAATTCTTACTACATCTGATGTACTGTAAAGAGACTTACCACATTTGATATCGTAGTGAGAGAGGTATCACATTTGATGACATATGGAGAAACTTATCACATGTGATGTAATATGGAGATATTGTGGGGAGCAAATTCTAGTAATCAGTCCTAAAATAATCCATTAATACCCAAAGTCGAGAAATAAGTCATTCAACTCTGTTTTATTGGGTGTTAGTGTAAGTTTATCCCACATAAAAATCACTTTTTTCTTTTAGCTTCTGGTTATTCTGGTACTTCTAGCTGCATCTGAAGCTGGTTTATATGGAGGAATTCCTGCTTATCCAGTGAGTACGGAGCCATGAAAATTAATTAGTAGTGCTTGTTAAGACTCGGATTAATGACGTTAAAACAAAAATGCAAAGAACTTTTTTTTATTCTTAACAATTATATACTCTGCTGATACAATTATTTTCGTAACGTCTAATAACCCAAAATGAAACAGGTCGAGTTAAATTTGGAATATTTTTCCAAATGCTCTCGTGTGTGTAAATCGTTTTGTTCTTTCGTTAGCAGAAAGTTGAGCTTAAAGCCACATGTGAACAATATAATATACATATGTGGTATTGTGAGGAACTAACAAAAATGGTGAAAAAATATAAATTAAGAAGAGAAATTGCAGTTTAAATGAATGTATGTGTGTTGGGGAAAATTAAACCTACTGTGCTTCCATCTGTCGACAGCTAAAATAACTAATATCGAATTATGACATAATTTCACTGAATTCATAGCGTTATTTATTGTATGTTAGAGATACTTAAGAGTCTGAATATAACATTGAAACTAGATTATGAGGATATTTTCCTGTATCAACCAAAGGGAGGGTATGGTCACGTTTATCGACCAGTGTATCCTTCAATCCCCACGCCTTACACTTTCAACTACGTCGCCCCTGCCATTGGTGGCATCAGCGCACGCCAGGAATCAGGAAACGGATATGGTCGTGTGATTGGGTCGTACAAAGTTGCCGACGCAGATGGGCGTATTAGAAAGGTCCAATACACTGCTGGCCCCGAGGGATTCAGAGCTAACGTCTACACAAACGAACCTGGTACCAAGACTAGTAACCCTGCTGGTGTCCTCATCCAATCTTCTGCTCCAGATCCGCCTCCATATTACCCGCCAAACATACCCTACGGTGGTGGTCACAAAAGAATTATCATTATTCCAGGAAACAAGCCCTGGAAATACTAAAGATCGTCTTTATTAAATAACCAATATTATGTGATACTCGTTAACTCCACTGCAAGAAATGTTTAGTTTGAAATGAGTCATCTTTAAAAGATGAAATATTTAGTAAACTTTTGAAGTCCAAGAGGTTTTCGCACAGTCTTTAGTCATTAATGTGTAATGCTAGATTACTGTGCATTACCTTATTTATTAACTTGATTGTATCAAACTGTAAACATTCGCAATCTGTAGGCTTTGCTTTGGAATTTTGTCTGATGTAACAACACATAACTTGACTTTATCTAAACTGTTGTTTACAATGCCAGTGTTGGTTGTTGATTTAAAATAGTTTTGTCTGATGTAACAACACATAACTTGACTTTATCTAAACTGTAGTTTACCATGCCAGTGTTGGGTGTTGATTTAAAATAGTTTTATCTGATGTAACAACACATAACTTGACTTTATCTAAACTGTAGTTTACCATGCCAATGTTGGGTGTTGATTTAAACTATTTCTAAAGCCTTTCATTATTGTTTGTTAGATCATTTATTTTTTACTGGAATTTTTTTCGAGAAAAATCGAGCATATATATATATTATTATTAATAATGACTTTATTTGCAAGCTACATCAAACATCTCTATAAAGACATCTTTATATAACATCTTTAACAAGAGGCTCAAAAATAAGAAAGGGCACAGAATGTTGATCTAAACTGTTGTTTACAATGCCAGTGTTGGGTGTTGATTTAAAATAGTTTTATCTGATGTAACAACACATAACTTGACTTTATCTAAACTGTAGTTTACCATGCCAGTGTTGGGTGTTGATTTAAAATAATTTATTCTGATGTAACAACACATAACTTGACTTTATCTAAACTGTAGTTTACCATGCCAGTGTTGGGTGTTGATTTAAAATAAGTCAAGTTATGTGTTGTTACATCACACAAAACTATATTAAATCAACACCCAACACTGGCATTGGTAAACAACAGTTTAGATCAAGTCAAGTTATGTGTTGTTACATCAGACAAAACTATATTAAATCAACACCCAACACTGGCATCGTAAACTACGGTTTAGATAAAGACAAGTTGTGTGTTGTTATGGGTAACAAGTCGAACTGTGTAAACGAGGGTCAATGTATTGCTGCAAAATCCTTATTCCGCCCTTTGGGCCGTGGGTGCGTCATAAGAATGACGGTCAAACTCCACAATATGATTAAAGTAGCACAAGGGTTGGCGATTGGTGTTTTGATTTCTCTCTAGTCCAGGGGTCACCAAACTACGGCCCGCGGGCCGAATCCGGCCCGCAGGTGCACTGTGTCACAAATGAGCTAAAATAAAATTATTTATATGGAAATATCATAAATTGTAGATAAACTTACTATGTGTAAAAATTAAAGTAAGTGTAAGAAAAAATGTCCAAATTTGCCCAATCTGATTTTTGCATCTGACGGTAATATAAGTTTTAGGAAATTCAGTGAAATAAAAAATTCGGTAACTTTGGATATCAGAGTGCTTTTTGTGTAAGTACCTGATATAAGAGTTCATTCCTGCAGTCGCCTCTGATAACTTAACTTCCAAGTATTTTCCCTTATTATTTGTTCTCCATCTATTGAGAGATAACTGAACTTCCAAGCATTTTTCTCCATCTTTGAGAGATAACTGAACATTCAAGTATTTTTCCTTATTATTTGTTTCTCCATCTATTGAGAGATAACTGAACATTCAAGTATTTTCCTTATTATTTGTTTCTCCATCTATTGAGAGATAATTGAACTTCCCAGTATTTTTGTTACTTTTTCTCCATCTATTGAGAGATAATTAAACTTCCAAGTATTTTTTTGATTTTTTTCTCCATCTATTGAGAGATAACTGAACTTCCAAGTTTTTTCTTAATTTTTCTCCCTCTATTGAGAAATGACTCCAAGTTATTTTTTCTTAATTTCTTTCTCCATCTATTGAGAGATAACTGAACTTCCAAGTTATTTTTTTCTTAATTTTCCTAACATAGATACCACAGCTGAAAGTAAACATAATCTATTTTTGGATTACTTTGGAGGCCAGCGAAGCTGGAATGGT